TGCATAGTTTATATTCGACAACTCACATTTTAGGTGCAAAATATTTATAGAATTTTGAATTATCAAAGCTAAGATATGTATGCAAAGGTGTGATCACATCGTGGCTTACAGATGCAAAGAAAATGTGAGAGGATGAAACGAAACGAGATATGCGATTGTGTATCTCTTTAAGACAGACAAATTTCACTCCTACACTACGCTAATAATATCAAATGGACGTCTATCCCCCAAGACAACATTTCGTCCAAAATTAATATAGTACAATGATAATTTTGTTGGACGAACCAAAGTATATTCTTCACGAACGAAATGGACACGAACTAAAATGCTGTGATGGTTTTTTTTTTAATTTCTAAAAATAATTTCAATTTTATTTTTATTTGAGAATAATAAAAAGAAAATAATTTTTGAAGAGCATTTTAGTTCGTCATTGGAAGAGGTGGAGTACTGTGTTTTGTTGGAGAAATTAATTTTTTGTTTGTTGAAGAAGTCGGTTCATTCCTTAGTAGAATTCCTGTCAAGGTAGAGATTGTTAGAATTTGGGTGATCTGAATTCCTTGTTTGATGTATTAAAAAATTCTAATTGAAGTGCACGTCAGGGAGAATTCAAGTTTGGAATGTCATTGGAGTAGTTGAAGTTCTATTTTGGAAACCTATTGGGAGTTAAAAATTGGTATTGGGCTTGAAGTAGAGTTCGGGATGGAGAAAATAATTTGGGAACAAAAAAAAAGTTATTTTTTTTTTCGGACAGAACACTCGGAGGTGGGCGACGAGGCGCCACCTTGCTTGTTTCGATTTTTCACATTTTTCTCTCCTTTTTCGTTTTGGACTCGATTTTTTAGTATCCTACTATATCAACAACTCTATTAGGAGGGTTTGAACGTCCCCTATATATTTCCTATAAATATGAAGTTCTTCTATACAATTTAATAAATGTGAGAAAATAGATTACTAAAATTATAGAATTCATTGTAATTTTCTTTCTTCTCCATTATTCTTAAGTCGCTAAAATATCTTAATTTCTCTGTCATATTTCTTGTCTTTATTATTTTTTTGCTTAATCTAATACTTTATTATTTGCCATATAATTTCAACAATTCATTTCGGTAGTTGATCAAGTGGTATTCAAACAATACACAATTCTTGTATTTTCAATATTACTAACAGCGATCCGGACATATTAATATTTCTTCTAACAAGAGATATTTTGATTATTTCATAACACGATACTCATCATTGTATAATAGATTCCTTATCTTATTAAATTTAGCTAGTTATTGCAATTAATTTGTTTTAATAAAAACAGATAGACATCGATTTATGAATCTTTTCATAAATATTTGAAGCCATGTGGTTCGTTCTAGATTTATTAAAAGCTTAATTTAATTTTCAATTATCAAGTTGTATGAAAAATTTTCACGAAGTAACTACGCTCTCAATAGTAAAACATATTTACTGTTAAATTTTGAATACTTACATTGGAAATCCAATTTTAACATCATGCACTTTTTAAGTTTAACAACGTATTCATCATAGTATTGTTTATCATTTCAAATATTCTCCGAATATCCCAATTTCTTATTTGAGAAAGCAACACTACCCCCAACAAATATTAAGGTATATCTGAACTTCAATTGAGAAAATTATGCAAACAACAACCATACCTCCACAATTCTAGGTACGACTCAGTTTAGAAACTATTTAAAGTTTGGTGATATCGTTAGTTATGTCTATTTATCAGGTAAATAATTTTATTCCACATCTAGTCAACGTATAAGTGACTAGGAATGTCCATGTCTCATGAAAGTCCATGCACTTTCATATTTAGGAATTCCAATTTTAACTACTTTTGGCTTTGGGTTCGTCATCTTTATATAATATTCTCTATATACAAGGGCTTTCAATATTGCTATCATCATAGAAAATTTTCTATGACATAAGATAATTAAAAAGAATGTGATATACAGACAATACTACCCTTGCAAAGTCCTATATTAAGAATGTACTATTTGACACCTACAATTCCTAGTTTGAACTAATTTTAATATTCATCAACTCTTTCCACATTCATAATTTATGGAAAGCGAAATCACGGACAGAACTAGAACCCTATATACCAGAGCATCGAGGATGGAGTTGATGTAGAGACAATTCTCAACCGCATATTAAACACACTTCTATTGTCCGATCATTAGTGACGTAATAATATAATATTATCTCCACTCTTGATTAAAATATGTGCGATTGTACAATAGAAGTGTGTTTAAATATTACGAGGTTGAGAATTTTCTCTACATAAATGATGAATGTGGAAATAGTTGATGAATATTAAAATTGGTCCGACCTATGAATTGTGAGGATTGAAGGTTCATTCTCAATATAGGACTTTGCAGGGGTAACATTGTTTGTATATTGCATTTTTTTATTACTTATAAGTCATAGAAAATTTTCTATAAAGATAGAAATGTTGAAAGCCCTTATATATTCGAGAATGTTCTACAAAGATGACGGACTCGAAACCAAAAGTGATTAAAATTAACAATCCTAAATATGAAAGTGCATGAACTTTCGTGATAAATGAACATTCTTACTCATTTATATGTTGACTAGAGGTGAAATAAATTATTTGTTTGATAGATAGATAGACATAATTAATAATAGGATTGAACTTTAAATAGTTGTTAAGCTGGTACCTAGGATTTTCGGGGGTAGGGTTTCTTTCTTTGAAGAATATACAAAATGATAAACTGCAGTGTAGTGAATATCTTTTCAACTTTGAGATGCACACGATGTTGAAAAATGGATATCCAATCCAGGATTCATAATTTACAAGGAAATATGTTTTACCATTGAGAGTGTAAACTGTTTCATGAAATCCTTCAAACAACTTAAGAATTGAAAGATAAAATTGGACCTTTACATGAAGCTGGAAAGAAGCGCACGTACGGCTTCAAATATTTATGGAAGGATTCCTAAATTGGTGTCTATCTGTGTTAGTTAAATGAATTATTTTGTGATATCAAACTACATTTAATAAGACGTGAATTGTATTGTACAATAGTAAGTATCGACTATACATCGTAAACACAATACCATTCTAAAGTTACTCTCAAATTAAACAACATCGATTGATTTTATTAAATCAAAGGATAACATAATGGATCCATTTACAAAATGGTTATCTAGAGAAAGAATATTCCGCACATCGAGAAAAATAGATTTAAAGTCTAAACTAACGGATGAATTTAATGAAAACCTAACTTGATGACTAGAGATCCTACAGATTAAGTTCAATAGGAAAAACTAGTTATGAATGATTCGATAAGAAGAAATTTAGAGTTTTAACTCTTCCCCATTTTTATGATGCGAATAAGTGCTACGTATCAAATATTAATTAGGATAAGCTACATTTTTAATGATGACTATATTTTGGAAACAATATAGATGGAGCATTGTAGGGTACTCTTTATACAACATCATTCACGTGAGTGCAAATTTCGCCGGTTTTATGAGAATCTTACTTAGGTGAATTCTTTAGCACACTTGCATAATCAAAAGAAGGTTTGGGTTTAAATTAATGAACAAAATAGAGAATTAAATTTTGATATGAAAGATAATGTGTTTGATCTATTGTCTAGGTTTACATTAATGGTCAACAACTTAAAATGTTGCATTCATTGATTAGCTAAGTTAGTCCAATAGATTCTTACTAAGGAAGGTTTAAAGCAAAACATACCGATATTGATGCATTATATTTCAGTAGTAATCTTCTTCGTCTTTTTTGTTCTGATTTGATTTCCTCTATTCAAGTGAATGATTGTTAAAATTTACACGACAATTATGAATAGGCATGAATAGAAAAAGTTTCCAATTCGCGCGATGACAATCACTATTTTTCAAAAGCAAATGGTACTATCAAAGAGTGATGTTGTTTCGAATTGGGTGTGATTATTCAAAAATATACATAATGAAAAGTCACGACCATTTGATAGAGTGCAATCTAGACCATTAAATATAAAAATGAGTGATCTAATAGTCCACATTAATTTATGTCAAAAGATGCAAACTTTCGAAAATATACTTGAAAATCTATAAATATGGACCCCCTAATTCCGTATTTTCTATAGCAAATCAATTCAAATAAAATAAAAAAATTGATTTCTAAACTCTCTCGTCTCTTCAAATTACTAAGTTGCTTTTATTTTGTTGAAATTAAATTCCGTTCAAATTATTTTCAGAAAAAAAATTACGTCCAAGCAATTTTAGTTTGTGTTTATTTTTTTTCTCGAATAATACTATCAACACTTTGGTTTGCCCAAAGAATTAATATCGTGCTATATTAATTTTGAAAGAAGCATTTTTGAGAGACAGACTTCCATTTGATTGTATTAGAACCATTGCAGGGGTCGAAATCTGTTTTAAAGAGGTTTGCATTCATATATGTCGCTTCATTTCATCTCTTTCTACTTTATACATTTCAGTAAGTCATGATTTGATAGTATTTTCTTGCATGTATTTTGATTTCGGTAATTCAAAACTCTTTCTCATAATTTACACGTTAATAGAATATAATTATGCACCAATAGTTCTCCAACATTTAATTCCCAACGTTGTGGTGGGCATCTACCGCATTTCAGTAGCTGTTTTTCTTTGTTAGAGTGTTGTTTCCAAAAGATTTTAATAAATTTTGATAAAAGTTGATGAAATGTGTTTTTAGAAAGTTAATAAAGATTGTGAATCCTATGAAACTTTTGATTAAAATTGAAATTTGATCAGTTGAAAGTTATAAAATTTTAGCGAAGTTCTATGAAATCATACACTTTAATTTGAAAGTTGGCATTTAATCAACCTAAATTCTAATTCTACGTCATCCCATAAAGTATTCAACATATAAAATAGAAAATTAATTATTTAGATTTAAATTAGTTTAAATCACAACTTTGTCACACTAATGTAGTAAAATTACATGTTGGAGAAGATTAAATTTTGTAAAAACAGAATCAATCTGTTTCATCTCCAAGCCAATTGTCTTTAACCTTGGGTCCAGTGGGCCCGTCCTCCCCCAATACCTCCTTAGGAAGACTCCTAACAAACTTGTCAAAAGCAGACTTCAATTTCCCTGGCAATACTTTCTCCACCTTCTTGATTTCATCCTCAATATTGTAGCTTATTTTTGGACCCCATTTTCTTTCATAATTCAGCCATGGTGGCTCTTCATAAACAGACCCCATATAATCTGCATTAACAACTGAAAATTTTTCTCCAGTGTCCATGAAAATTTTCCCCTTGGCAGTATCGTTTCTTATGCCAATATTCCCATTTCCTTGCAGAACTAGCCCGGGTTTTGGATATGAGGCATGGCCATGTAATGATGAATAGGCCACAGGTTTGTTACCATTTTCAAACTCCAATTCGGAAGCATCCACCCATACTCCTTTACTATGTTGAGAAAAATAGACAGCTTTAAGCTCCCCATTGAAATTGCTGATTCTTAAGGTCACATGTTCCCAATCCCCAACATGTTCTCCAATTTTCCCGAAGGGAACATTGAAGAATTCGACTTTCGCCTTTGCAGGTCCATTGAAAGGGTAAAATATCCATATTGCTATGTCTGTAAATGTTGCACCAAACATGGGCTTAACATGTAAATAAGCGTATGCATTTTGTAAATCTCCTTTCTTGACTCTCTCCTTTTCTGCATCATTAGTAGGAAGGTCTATCCAATAGGCACCATCATTTCCACCCCCCTGAGGAAGATTGGAGCCTGTGCTCTTGATGGCGATTGGATTCGATTCTTGGCCTTTGGTATATAGTAGTGCCCCGTTTTCAAAAAACCATGTCACGGAGGAAGGAAAGTAGTTCTCGTCAGGATGAAAATAGATATGAGGAGAGTAAGCTTGAATCAGTGCCTTGAGCTGATTTGAATTAGGCATGGCATTTTTGTTGGCTTTTGCATTCTTCAAACAGGCAAGAGTTGATCCAGCAGCCCCATTGGTTTGGGCTATAAATGTTCCTGCAGGAATCCCCATGGCTTGAATTCCTCTAACTAATGGTCTTGTGCTATACACATTCACATTATTTGCAATAATATCCTTCCCTGGCCCCCAAATCCAATCATCGTTTTCATAGGAATCCGTAAAATCCGAGCGCACACACCGGATTTTGTCGAGGGATGGCTTCTCAGGTGAGCTCGTGACAACTTGTCCAACGGCTTTATAGCCATCAGGGGGTGTTGGCAGCCAGATATAGCCAACACCATCTTGCTTAATTTTCAAAGACTCACTACTCCAAACAAGAGTATAGGCAATTGGTTCCTTCAAGGCACTTTCATTTTTTGCATCTTTCCCTGCAAGAACCCATCCAGATAGAGGCTTGTTGTTGGGTTGGCTATAGAATCCTAGCAAAAAGAATCCATCTGGTATAGAAGACGGTTCATAAAATGTTGCGCCAAGATTATCCGGTCCGCCTTCTTTTGTAGCCCACACCTCAGAAAATGTGGATACTTGACACACTTGTAATCCTCCTAGATCAATGATTTCACTTGCGAAACCTTCACCTAAATCCAAAAGAAAAGAAACCCACATTACGAATTGTATCATTTATCACGATTAATTAACTGAAAAATGCATAACGATGTACCTTTAGGCCAGGAGGGAAGTGGAGAAGGAAGCTTGAACACGGTTTCAACAGGAAGAGGCTTGTTTTTCTTCTTGAAAGGATTGGAAATGGTAAAAAAAGAAACAGTGATCTGATTCCCCATAGTTGAGCCCTTCAAGTAACAATATATTTTGAGCAACAATCTAGTTATGAATATGTACAGAAAAAGGAATGAGACCAAAAACCTATCAGTCAAGCAACAAACTTTTGAACATTTCGTGCAAGGTATAAAACCCTTTTATAATTGGTTTTCTATTCCTTAAGAAAATCTTTTCCAGTTTTGAGGATTGGCAGTGAACATATCTTCTACACTAAGACCTTTATTTGCTTCGACATAACTCTTATTCCATCTCAACCGTCACGCACAGGCCGGCCAGATTAATTTCATCTAAGTTATTTATAAAATGAGAGTCGGTGGGACTTCAACTCATCATTACTAATAGTTTAATATAAATTGGCTGCCAAATGTTTTGAGCCAGTTATATAATCTTAATCATGATCGATGAATTGATTTAAATTTCTGTAATTATTTTAGTTCCCAATTTTCGCCGTTGACCTTGCTTTATCCGCCAAAAATTGTCCTTTGCTACACATAATTATTTTTTCTGTTTTGGATAAATTGTATGTTCTCTAATTATGTTATATACATATTTGCACACGAGCAATAATATCAACAATGATGTGACAAGATTGATATGTACAAGAAATGTATCAATTATTGTTATTAGAGTTTGTTAACAAGAAAAAGTGAAGGCTGAGTGTGATTGAAGCTAGATTGTTAAAGATTGACAACATTTAGATTTACGTTTGCATTTCGAAAAAGCATGTAACCACTAACTAATGCCTTGTCATTTTTCCTTCTTTTTAGTTTTCTGGGTATGGTCTATGCATAGGGGTGAACGCGAAGTATAAAGTTCGGGGGTACAATCGAATTTGAAAAGAAATTGAGAGAAATTTTACAATCGAAAATTTACGTCCAAAAAAATCATACCTCATGTAATTTTACATCCGAAAATTTACATAGGATATGACTTTTTCAGATGTAAAANCAGATGTAAAATTTTGAAAAAAATTTATGTCATATTTCATATAAAATTTCCTAATAAAATGATGAAAATTACATTGAAAAATTTGTATTACAAAAATAATCAATGTTAATGAATAATTGATTTTTTTTAAAGAAAATGCGAGTTAAACGTCTTTATTTAAAACTCACGTTTAATGCATTTTTAACTATTTTCGATCTGTTTGAATTATTTGATATGCCTATAATGTAGTTCTTGAAATAAGTTTTGAGATGACATAAGAAATTTGTAAATTCGATTAGCGTACGATCGTCGAAGAATTTTTAAAGTTAGAATATTATCGAAATTTTCGAAATACTAATTTTGAACGACTTATTTTGACAAGTCGTAACATTTGCTACGATTGATCGTTTCGTATGTCATTAATGACGTAGAAAACTAGATCGTAAAAATTTCGAAATGATATTAAGAATGCAATATTTTGCCCTTATTTGATGCAGAGTTGAGATTTTGTTAAAAACAAGAGAAAAAGAGAAAAATTAAAATTTATTATAATTTTGCCCCTATTTGATGGAGATTAAAATCAATTTTTTAGTAATAGTAATGGATTCCATGAAATATATTATTAAAATTAATTGTTAACTTTAATTTAGATTAAAATTTATATTTCAATCGATATCAAACTTGACTTTATATATAAACTCAAAAGTTGGGGGCACGTGCCCCCGGAACCCCCCTGGGTCAGCCCCTGTCTATGCATAGAATTTTCGTGGATATATATAGGCTGTCGAAAAAAGAAATAGAAATAAATTATTATTAAAGTATGGTCTATGCATAGATCAACCATGCTATACAAACATGCTCAAAAAACAGGGAAGACACGAGTCGACACATGATTGGATAATTTAAAAAATAAAACCCAAAGAGGTGCAACCAAATCCGTCTGTTTTTTTTGGGTCTTTGAGCATGTTTAGGGGGTGTTTGACACCAATTTTAGTAAAAAAATGTGTTTTTGAATAGTGATTGATGGAAGAATGTGCGGTTAAAAAGTAAGGAGAATTTTTAGATTTATGTATAATATTATTTTATTGATAGAATGTGTGGTTGAAATGAAGAAAGGGAAAAAGAATGAGAATGAGAATGAGAAAAAAATGGGTGCCAAACGGGGGCTTAGTCATCACTACTGATGTATAGATTTATCTGTTAATGAACGGTCTGAACCAGTTGATTTTTACAAGAACCAGTGAACACGTTAAACTATTAAGAAAGGCAAACAAATATTATAGCAGAAATTTGTATTGCTGTTAATATGAACTGTGATACACATATTTTGTTTCAATTGCCTAAAAAGCACAAAAGCAACAATATAACTTTAATTTCAATTGGAAAACATGGTTATTATATCAATATATTAAAAGATAAAACATGACATGAAAAATTAAAATGGTTAATTCATAATTTTTTTGAACAAGTAAATTCATAATTTTGGTCATTAATAGTTCAACAATTTACTATTCATAAACATCAACAAGCTGGTCTGACCAGTGTTCTAGTGACTTGGTAGCTTAAGAGGCGGGGCGGAGCCAGAAAGATATATTATGGCAGGCTGTAATTTCTTTCTTTTTCCAATGAACTTGTACCATAAAAGATATTCTATACCACACAAGATTTAGTTTAAAAAGTTAATTCATGACACTCATAATAATGTGTATCACATTATATTTTTGGACATTCATAACAAAATTTTAACCAATATATTTTTAACTAATAAAATTATATATATATATATAGCATATTACTTATTTTGATAATAACATCCATTTCATGGTCGAAATAAATTAATTTTTAACCCACTTGTATAAATAAGTAATATATGAAAAAATACATTAGAAAAAAATTAATTACTTTTAAGCTTAGTCAAACATGTGGCATTTCATACTGTTCAAATAAATCATTTATATTTAATCAATAAAAATTATTTGTTATATAATAAAATAATTTGATTATAAGTGAACTCTTTAAACTTAGTTATATGTGTGTGTGTAAAATAAAATATCTAATTTGGTAACGAGCTTTTTATATATCATATGACTAAAATAAATATGTAATTGTTGTAGAGTTTTAAACTAGATTTGAAAAATTGAACATTGGGCTTGGGTTGGAAATGAAGTTAGTTGGGTTAAAATCTATTTTTATATAAACCAATTGCTTCAGGGCTGGGGCAGGGCTCATCCTAGCCCCCCTCTCCATCCACCTATGGAAACAGGGTCAATGTCTGGATTAACCATAACCAGAATAATCTTCATGTCAATTTGATGTCGAATTTGTATAAAATGTTGGTTTTATTTTGTCAAATAAATATTCAAGTATATGAAAATAATTGTAAGGTTTAGTTACAGTACTTAATACTTACATTTATAATTCTTTATTTTATCATTCAGGGCCTGTTTGGGCCAGATCAAAATTTAATTTTAATCCAAGTCAAAGTCAAGCAATTAATATTAACCACATCTTTCATGGATCCCACATCTTTTCAACCACACATTTCAAAAACTTCTATCACAATCTACTAAAAATCTAATTTTAACCTTCACCAAACACCATCTCAATAAATTTCAATGTAATTAGAACTGGCGTGATAAGTGAAATTGGGAACTGGGCCGGTTAGGCAAACAAATCCATCTTTTGAAAAATCGCCCAAAAATTTATCTTTACTCTTTTTAGGTAAAATTATTTATTTTTAATTGTTTTTTATTTTTTAAAGTCACTAGGTCGATTCTATTTGACCCTTGATCCTTTCCTTTTTCAAACCAATGAACATGTGAATTTTTAAAATGTTGGGTTTTGATACCCAATAAATCCGGACGATGATGTAAAATCGATGTTGAATAAGTATTGTAGTGACACCTTAGATTGATGACCCAACCCTAGGGACATTGGAAGCAATCTAATTAATTAGAGTTGCTCATGGCCTGGTTCCTCACTTAGTGGATGGCTTGGCACACTTACTATCTTCTCGTTGGGCTAGCCCATTACTGTACCCTAAGTGATCATATATATTTCCCTTCTTCACGGCTTTGTCATTGGAAGAGTGTTTTGCCCCTTTTGTTCGAGAGAGTGATATAGCTGCTTCATTTTGTGCTTTGTGCTTCCGGCTAGTAATCTGTCTTGTTCATTTTCTCATTGCTCCCCAGCCTTTGTGGCTCCTACTTTAGGGCTGCAAAACATCTTCCTTTTGTGTCCTAAGTGGGTACAATTGAAAGCAATTGAAGAGAGGAATAGTTTGAAGATTTTGGGTCAATCGATTGGGTGTAGTTTTGGTTGGTAAACTGAGCCTAGTTCTTGGTAATTGGAGATCATTGTTCAATAAATGGTATCAGAGCTTGTGTTGTTGAGAAATCTATGTTTTTTGGGGTGAAAAGTGGCTGGAAACCAGCAGAAAACATAAACAGAAACTGTCCAGTTTTTTCAATTTCTACTGGAACTGTTTTGGTGTTTTCCAGCCAAACCACAGATCTGTTGGAGAAACAGTGACCACTGGCGTTACGTGCCGGCGGAAGAGGTCTCGGAGGTTAGGCGTGTGTTGCCGACGGCAGCTCGTGAAGCCCACGCGCACAGACGTAGGAGGCGCGTGCAGGTGCGTGAATGGTTTTCCAGTGATGATGTCTTCAGGCAAAATGTTTCTGGTGGCGTGGCGAACCCTATGGTGGTGTCCGTTTTTAGTTTCAGGTGATACTGTGAAAATTGGATGATTTTGCCCTTCGATGTTCGAGTGTCGAGTGTTGTTTTGTGTTACTGCGGTTGCCGAAAGCCTTAGGATGGATAGTGATAACCCTAAAGCGGTGAATTCGCATCTCTCGATATTTACAGACCTTCAGACGTGATCCGTTCGGTATTGTGTCATGTCCCTTTTATTATTGCAATTATGGTTAGTATAGGATAACGATTTACTTTTCGCATTAGAAGTCATCGTGACATTAGGATTGGGGGTTACCGTGAAGGGGTAACCATTGTCTGTTGCTAGACCTAGGAATTATGGTAACCATTGCATGTTGGTGGACCTAAAAATTACTTATTA